CTGCTAACACTCCAGCTGCACTTCAGTACACTGTTTACCTTAAGCTGGGTAGCTCTCAAAGCCTTCCCAATCACATCCTTCCTCAACTTTCATCCACTACAAGCCAGAATGTTTTAGCAGAGGGTTGGGATTGGTCTTCCTATTGCAACAGCTTACCCATAGCACATTCGTGGATGGCAAGTCGTAATGACTGGAAAATGTGTCTTCTTTAAGGTAGATCACTGGAAAACGTATGTCCTTTCTGCAGCGTATAACAGCCTGTGTGGACAGGCTCTAATAGCAGGGCTTAGGAATAGCAGGATTCTCAACACCTTCATTTCTGCCTCCGCTGAGAAAGGGAATGATGCACTGATTTCATCTTCTCAGATCACCCTTACCAAGCAACACCCTGAAGGACTTGGAAATGTGGCTTTCATTTGTGTCACTGTAAGTTTTAAGGTATTCAGGAATATTAGAAAAATCCAGTACCTTGCAGGGACTTAAGCATTCATATTCTGACTTCCAAAGCATATGTTTGCATCTCCATTCACTTGTAATTTTAAGGACAGTAATTTAGAGATGATTTTTTTTTTTTTCAGACTGAAAAACTGTCACTTTTTCAGCATATTTCATCTTCCAATGGTTAAATAAAACATTATCGGTCTACTTCAATTTATGAATTTGTGTTGTCCAAGATTGGAGACAGGTTACGCAAGACATACAGTCATGTTCTAAGGCCAAACTGGGCCACACCAAAGGGCTGTCAAGATCAGCAGCTTCTCTCCAGCAGTGACCAAGAATTAATGCCAAGCAAAGCATATAAGAACATATTTTTTTTCCAGTTTCTAGCTAGCATGATGTCCCAGAGTTGGATGTGGTTTCTGCATATTTAGTAGCCTGGATTTCTTTTTTTAACTTGGCAAATCTCTCTTTGAGCCTGCATAAACTTTCAGCACACCCACAGCATCCTGCAGGAAGGATCTCCCCAGCTCAACTACCTGTTGCATCTCCTTGACTTGCTTTGAACCTGTCTCCTCTTAGATTCATTTAATACACCTTAGCTTCTATACGCTCCCCTCCTGCACACAGTCATGGATGCATGGACCTCTCTCACACCCTCAGTCATCTAATTTACACTACAAGCATCGTTAAGGGCTGACAAAATCTCACCTCGTTACTCAACACTTTTTCAAACCCGTAACTTACATCTACCCCTAATCTTAGCCACATTTGCCAGCCTCAGGACAAACTGCCCCTGTACAGCTCACCAGCTGAAGCAGCTCACCAGAAATCCTGCAAGAGTTAACAATACTCTTTTGGGTTCATCCTATGTCAGCCAAGACCCCAATTCCAGCTCTAACTTTACGCATTTCACAAAGACTGCCACACATTTCCAAACTACTGCTTTGCTTTTTTATTCCACTCGTTGTCATCAGCCTTCCTCCTAGCCCCACAGAGTTGGCCAAGTCTTGCAGTAACTTTCAACTCTGTAGAAAACCATAACATTTACCCTGGTGAGACATGCACAATAGCCACATTTCCAGCTCAATGAAAATAAAGACGACTGTTTGCAAACTGAAACTCCCATTTCAGCCTTGCATGATCTTCAGAGAGTTACAAAACAACTTGCCCACTGCCTGAGCACTAACTCTTGCTTCATCCATAGTTGAGGTGGTAGCAACCAGCTCAAGATCACCACCCAACACTGTTTTTTCTTTCAGTTTCATGGGACTTCTCCCTTCTGGTCCTGACATCACCCTTAGCTCCTCCACTCCCTTCCTCTCAACTCAACCCAAATTGCAAATAGCATCCTGGCTTTAAACTCAGTGCTGTGACCTAATTCCTGCCTTCAAAACCTCATTAAAAGCTTCTCACACCAACTCTTCATATGCTGCTGCTGTAGGTGTCCACAGTTGAGGAACACACACTGTTTAGCAGCTTCTCTGAGGCTGGACCATAACCACAAACTCTCCCACATCACTAGACAGCCACCAGTTGGGCAAGCATCCACACACACCAGCACCTACTTGGATGCTGAATATCATCAAGCCTCGATGTCCTAGACCCTAACCTAATGTCACACCTAACACCGGGGCCAGCAAATTATATCACCTCCAATCCACCTAACACCATTTATTATTTCCAGCCTGTGGAAATACCAGGCTTTAAAAACAAGCTTATCTCTCCAGCCTCTCTCTGTTCCTTGCATCTAAGCCCTGCACCTCAGCCTAGCCTTCTCGCTGGCCAGACACACAGATCTTCCTGGAAACCAGGCCAACGACACTCAGCCTTGCTGTCTCCATCTGACATCCCAGTCCCGAGCTCATGATGACTGGCACAATGTCATCATGACAAGGCAGAACTTACCCTAAGCTATCATTCATTTTGACTAATCAGTCTTCCCACAGCTCCTCAAGTCTGGCAAGATACAACATTATAAAAAAAAAAAAAAGCAGCTCTCATCTCCAATTTCTCATTTGTAGGTGGACCCCACAGGTCTAACATGAAGAATATTGCCAGCAGCACAGCTGGGCCTATAGCTGGCTCTGAGGCAATTGGGGGTGGGGGGTCACTGACTATATTGAAGTGAAGTGTTAGGGTCTGGGTTCAGGAAAGCAGGTGTTGCTGAGCAAGTCTAATGTGCTGGAATGTGGATCCTGCAGGGTTTCGGTGGTGCATTAATCAGGATAGGCATGTTTTGGCCTCTTTCAGGTTGTTTGGTTGCAAGTTCAACATAGTGGTCAGTTTAAGGTTTGAGTTCAGAAGAACAAGAATTGAAGAAAAGAATGTATAGACAGATTCTGCAGGGACCTCACATCTAAGATGAAGGCTCATGCCAGAAAACTAAGTTTAAGGACAACAGAAGCTTAAGATCCTGCTTCTTTCTATATCCTATCATGCCCAGAGGGTGAGGACAAGGATCACAGAAGGTCAGCAGGGACATGTTGTCAGGGTTCTGATGAGCCTCACCTGGCCCCACACCTAATGCCCATTACTTTAGGAGCCCCATTTCAGCCCTAGCTCCTGGATGGACATTAAACTTATGCTGTAGTTAGCCTGTCTCATGGATGGACCCCCTCAGACTGTCATTTGTCTCTACTCCTGCCTTTTGCGTTTTCTCCTGGAGGGACTTTGGGCCAGTGTTGCAGCCTTGCCTCCAGTTCCACCTCCTGGCTGGACCCTGACCAAGATTCAGAAAATCTACTTCTCAGCTTCTGTTGTCAGGGCCCCTGCCTGATCATCAGCCATGGGAAGTTGGTGCTAGATCAGCAGAGAAGGAACGGAACAGCTAAATTTAACTCTGCATATTAGAAAGCCATGTAATGGCTGGCATCCGGAATTGCAGAAGGGATGGGTTTTCCGGATGGAAGATACAGGCTTCTGGGTAAATTGGCTAAATTGAGGATTAAGACCAAGCTCAGCAGAAGGGGAAGAGCTGGGCTGACTACTGGGTTTTAGAATCCCCCCCAGAACAATAATACTGTTTTTTACTGGCAAGGGTCTCCTTAATTAGATTTGGAGCAGGTAGGTGTTGCTGGACTGCAGGTAAAGCCAGGGCTGTTGCTGATGCCAGGGAGGACCTCAGCCAGCAGAACTCTCATTTGTCTTTCATAAAGCTGTTAATAAAATCCACAGTGCTGATGGTAAAAATAGTCACCGCTTCATACTCTAAGAATGACTTCGTTTTTGCATTTAAAAAAACCTTCCCCTGTCATTACAAGACGTAAAGAGACAAACACACGAAAGGCATCTGCAGCACAGACTATGTAATTGGAATCAGGCCGGGATCATTTATGACTTGATGACCCCCATCTCAGCATAAACATATCAAAAAGGGACAGCAGCAAATCCTTCACGCCGTGCCGCACAGAGTCTGGTATTAATGACTCTGCCAGAAACGCTGCGAACAGATCAGAGCTTTCCAAGTCAGACAACGTGCTTCCTGGAAGCACTTTTAGCCTTGACGGTAATAGGAGCTGTTGTCACATTATCATAAAGGTCTCCCAAATGAGATCCAGTCCGACTCCGCAGCAGATGTTGAATAAGGATTGCTTGATCTTAACCTGTGTCTCAGCTGCAATTCCACAGTTGGAATGAGGAGCCAGAAAGTGACACAGAGGAGGACTGCTCCCATTTGTGTTTGAGGAACCATGAAATTCCTCCAGAAAGCTCCAAAGTGTCCTTCCCCAGTTCAGTAGCAAACCAGAGCAGTTATGCACATGGCCCTGCCTTAAGAGGAAATCAACTTCCTACCACCTTCTCAGAGCACTGGTCTGGTTAGGTCTGGAGGGAAGAGCTAAGCCACATCTGCCACCGCCTTTGCTGGGCTGGCCCAGAGGAATGTGGTATCACCTAACCACACACCAGGTTCCCAAGCAAGGAAAAAAGAAAAAACCATAACATTTTACCAAATTTAAGCATTTACCTATCTTTAAAAAAAAAAAAAAGTGATAAAATAACAAAAATCTATTAACACAAATTTTAGGTCTGCTGTTTCTAATCAATCCATGGCAGCTCATCCTATACTCAGGCAGAGCTGTGCAGTACTCTGTGCCACCAGGGTCCTGCCTTCAGCCTTCACTGATCAGCCATCAATATTCCACCTACAGGCATGATCATCCCCCATTTATCCAAACTTTAGCTGAAGCCAAAACTCTGAACGCTTGCATCCCATACAGCAGGAACAGCCAGTTTTAAGGTTTAGGATTAGGCTTCAGTCACTGGGCTTTCCAGTCCTGTGCTCAAGCAATTAAATTTCTTTGGGCTTTGCATAAAAATAAGCTCACATTTTTCAGTAAGAAAGCATCTGTAAGATAACTCTACAGGACCCAGAGCGTGCTTTGGGGGTTCAAATAATGCTGGTTGCTTTTTATTCTAGACAGAGTGATAAGGAGAAGTAATTGAGTAAAAACAACAAAACAAGTTTTCTCATTTGCCATCTGTAAAACATTTTAGCACAGGGAAAAAATAACGTCAAGACCACACTTTTGAAATCTTTCGTTTGATTAGTGGCATCGTACCTCGTCAGTAAATACGGTGAGAACGAAGCTGGATTGTCCTGCTCCGAAAACATCGGCATGGATCCTCCCATTATCCAGAGGCGGAAATACAACACGAGAATCACCTTCAAAGAAGAGCATCTCAGTCAGCAGTGCACTACTAAGAAGAACTAAGCCCCCAGCTAATATTTTGTTGTGATAGCTCTCCCTGCTCTGCTCTGTGCCTAGAAGGGAGTCGGCTCAGCGCTTTAGGCAAAATTCAATTTTGCTACCCTATGCAGGGTGACAAACGTGCCGACCCTCAGCACTGACAGCACGCTCTGCTGTTGTGTCCCCCCAATTTTGTGTGTGTGTTACTGACAGCAATGGGCATATCTCTGCTACCCACAACAGAGGGAAGATTTGGAAGGACAAATCCCTCGCCCTGCTGCGGCTCAGACTGCAGAGTTTTGCTATTGACCTCTACCTAAATACAGAGGGGAAAAACGTGGCTGATGTCTTAACAGCTATTATTCTTCACTCGTGCTGGCATAGGGATAAGGGCAAGCTCCACTGGTGTTTCTCGTGCTGCGTAAACCTAATCCCTGGAAGGACTTCCTGCGGGCTGGCACTCCTCTGCTTTTCTGGGAGCCACTTGTCAAGGGACAAGCAAGGGGATCCGGCTCCTAGAGCAGCACAGGGAGCCTCACACTCAGCAAACCCCCGTGGAGGGGCTGGTTTTCTCTCCTGCAACATGTCAAGTCCTGCTTGGAGCACGCCCTGCAGCACAGATTTGCAGGCAGAGCTTTTCTTGTGACTCTTCCCAAGCCCTGCCCTGAAACTAACATCACACCATTGATAAGTCAGCCCAGCGCCAGAGAGTTCCCCTGTATTTAGGGCAGGAAATACTTGCAGATGATTACACAGTTTTAAGGGCAACTATTATAAATTAAAAGAGAATTTGAACTGAAAACAGCAATATTCTTGTCTCTGCCCAGCTGAAGTTTTCTACACTATTTTCCAAGACTAACTTTGTATTAAGATCTACCATCTAAGCCTTCCGAGCCTTTTGGGATACCACCACACAATGCCCATTCTCATCACATACACAGAAAGACACGGGCAGGTCCATTTGTACTTACGTAGCTTATCACCAAAGCAGCTCTCTTCAAAAAAGGCCTTGCCGTATACAAGAAATTCTGGTTGTTATTTGCAGTCAGGTAGCTGAAATACAAGGAAGCAAATATTTGTTGAAATGCTTTGAAACAGTAACTCTTTTTTCAAACTGGAAAAAAAAAGCTGCACATTGTTTTAACTGCCCTAAACTAACATGCAGTAATAATGACATCACTCTTACTCTTCAAAGCTCTTTCCACATGACTTAAGCAAAACATTGAGACCACTTCAAATAATACATGCTATAATACATTAATACATTGCAATTTCCCCATCAAAATCTGGGTTTGTTTTGCCGCCTTTTTTTTATAAACAATTATCAATTAACTCCTATCAATTAAATCCTTAATCCTCAGAAAAACCCCATGTGTGTGTCACTGAGATTGCTGTCTTCAGACTCCCAGAAGACTGCACCGAGATGCGTTTTTAAAAGGTCACCCAAACAAAGCAATTAAATTTTAGGCCATGATTAAAATGCAAACACTCCTCGTTCCCAGCTCTCTGCTCAGTCTCTAGAGATGGGAATAACTGTCTAGCAGAAATGAACTTATTTTAAGCATTATTTTTTTTTTTTAAGTGTATTTTGCACGCTTAAGTTTCATTATAAGTCTGCTGACAAGGTATTATGATAATTAACTGCACAGAGACAAACACACAGGTGGCAATTGTAGGAGCATTCATAAAAACCTTCCTGTTTCTCAATGAGTAAAATTAAACTATACCTGGAGCCAAAACTACGCATTTATTTTAATATAGAGTGGAAGCACTTGCCAAATTCTAAGGAGCTTTCTTAATATAACAAACGATGCCATACCTATGACATTAATTCAAGGATAATTCCATTTCTATTGAACTTACAGAGGCCTCATCATTGTAATAAAGTGATAAGAAACAAAAAAAAATACAGAAGAGACAACACTAATATTTTATGCATATAGGAGCTAGTAAACTACTGGGAAAAAAAGACAAATAATTTTAAGAAGTTATAAATATCATGTAAACAAAATAAATTCAGAAGGAAAACATTTGCAGGTTCCTCTGTGTAACATACAATCAGTACTGGGATACTCAATTTAAATGATTTACAAAAACTGCAGCATGAATCACCACATCTGCATGCAAGTTACCTTTTCAAGCATGAAGGCATCATACCCTTCTCCTGTGAACACCTAGCATATAAAACGCATCTTATTTCCTCTCCAAATTCCTCAAGACAGTCTATCATCTAATTGCTTCCACCCTTCAAGTCTTCGAAAAAACAAGATTGCAGCACTTCCTAGTACTGCTAAGAGTCTTCAATATCTGGCTTTTTGTTCAAATTTTCTATAGTAGGAAGTTTGCAAGCCTGGTCACCATGGCAAGATGGAGAAAAGATTACACTGCAGACAAAAGCACCAAGGGCAAAGCCAGCAAGAAACAGAGGCAGCACTTAACAAAACGAAAGAAGTACATCTGGGTGTTCTCTACAAAATATCTGCTCTTCAGAAAACCTTCTCTAACTGTCGTGCCTAAAACTTAGGAACTGAACCATACATTGTAGAGCAAGCCAGATGACTTTCCGTCTTTGGTGTCTACTTATTTACAAATGTTGACATTTAAGCACCGAATCTGAATTAAATGTCAGACTAGTCTTCAAGGGCTGAACTCCTCAAAGTGCAAAGCTTTTTGAGCCCCCACTGATTTTAATCAGGCTCCAGCAAGTACAAGCGAGATGAAACTAAGCCTTCAGCTTTCTCTCTCCATGAAAGGTCAGGTTGGCCTTCAAGTGTTCACCATGGCCCTGCTCCAAAAGCCCACCGGAGCCAAAGGGAAAGACTCTCAGTGACTTTAATAGCATTTGGATCAAACCCCGGTCTTTTGTTCCCTACTGGCACCTTTTATGAAACTCAACCCCCTCGTGATTTGCAGCAGGAACAGAAGTGTTGGGTTGCACTTTGTTTATGTTTTTATGGGTGGAGGGAGGAGAGCCCTCTATTAATCACACTGCCTGACTCTTTTCAAGAACCTATTTGCACTCGATTGTAGTTTTAACTAACTGCAACACATTGAGCAGAAATTTTCCATTACAAATATTTGCTTTAGGTGGAAGTATTCTGGGAAAAGATCAGCCAGAACAGTACAGCTTTTTCTCCAAGACTTCAATTGGAGACAGAGGAGCGCTTTTATCGGTCAAGAAGTCTGTCAACTTCATCCTTGAGCAACGGCATCGCCTTGCACCAGTGATCTGAAACTCTTGAGGCAGCTGTCATCTCTGGGCCATGTGTTTGCCACCCTCTAGAACAGCCAAGCTCGGGGGGCAGCAGCTGCAGGGAGGTGGGGGCATGCAGAACCCCTTGCTTTGTCATGCTCAGTGGGGATCTGGCTTTTAGCAGATCAAGTTTGCATCAAAGATGTTCCACCTGGAACAACTGCTAGGGACAACACGCCATTTGTGAAGGCAGCCATCCAGCAACAAGGGTAAACTTCATTTCAGGCTACTGAGGCTCAGGTCTGGAGACCACCATGGAGCACAGAGGAACCCTCATTATTGCCATCCCTCTGGCTTCTCTCAAACCTGGCCTGGAGAACATTAAAGCCAGAAAATGAATGTGTACGGAAGGCAGTAGTTGCTTTCTCATCCTTGGCAGAACAATGCAGGAATGCTTGCTCTTTAAACATCTCGATTTTGAGGCTTTTTGTCTGCCTATCAGCAACTAAAATGCTGCCCACATCTTGCACCTTTCCTTGCAGAAAGCACATCATGATGCAAGCTACCAGACACAGTTTCAAGGCATGAGCTTATCTGCAAGTCAAAGTTAATTTGAATCCACTGAATTGCAGGGTAGCTCTGGCCACTGGTAGCTCAGGCCTTTAGAAAGAACCTCAGAAAATCCTGCCAAGCCCCTCACAGTTTATGTTGTGGAGCAGTAACATCTCCAGGATAAAAATAAAAAAAAGAAGAAACTCCTGCACTGACACCAACTGGAAATCACCACCCTGTCCTAGAGAGCAGATGGGCAGCGAGCAAGAAGGAACCAGAATGAACCCGATGGGTAGCTGGGAATGGGTGAAGGAAGAGAGTTCAGAGGGCCCTGAGCTTCCTGATCCTTCCTCAAAAACCTTTTTCCTACTTTGCAGCTTCAGTTAAGAAGTGTTTATTTCCACCATAGTTCAACGAAGAAGCAAAGCTTTTCCCATTGCTGGAAGGTACTGTCCTGAAGTCTGTTCTAGAAACCACAAAAGATAAAGTGGTTCATTGCCTGGCAATCCAGCTGTCTGCCCGTCGGATCAACCTGTGGGAGCGGCAGACACATAGGGGTTGTGCTTGATGCACCAAAGCTCTACAAGAACCACGTGGCTTCCTGGAGTACCTTACTGAGGCTACTGGTTGCTTCAGGGAAGGTAACTAATAAAACCTCTCATGTCTGGTGCAGGAGAAGAACAATGCACAGTTTATGTATTAAAACCAAATGAACCTGGATGAGGAAGTTTGCTAAACATCAGACAGCACCTAAAATGTAGCAGCTTTTTTTTTTTTTAACACATACAATAGCAGCTTGCAAACACATCTAAAGTTACGTTGAACTTTGCTCAGACAACCTTCAGATCAGCCAAAACTCCTTATTTTGTCTTTAGCTAGAATAATCAAAGAACTGACTATTACAACAGTTTAACTCTTTTATACCCATTTTAAACAGCTGCCTCCTATAAAGTCATTTACAGGTCAGATTTCTAGGCGTTTGCCAACCCCACCAGGCTGCCAAACATCCCACTGTTCCTGGGAACCACTCCCTATCACCTTCTCCACCCCAACCAGTGTAATGTGGCTCCCCACACCAAAACACACACACACACACACACACACACACACACACAACCTGGCCTGGAGAACATTAAAGCCAGAAAATGAATGTGTACGGAAGGCAGTAGTTGCTTTCTCATCCTTGGCAGAACAATGCAGGAATGCTTGCTCTTTAAACATCTCGATTTTGAGGCTTTTTGTCTGCCTATCAGCAACTAAAATGCTGCCCACATCTTGCACCTTTCCTTGCAGAAAGCACATCATGATGCAAGCTACCAGACACAGTTTCAAGGCATGAGCTTATCTGCAAGTCAAAGTTAATTTGAATCCACTGAATTGCAGGGTAGCTCTGGCCACTGGTAGCTCAGGCCTTTAGAAAGAACCTCAGAAAATCCTGCCAAGCCCCTCACAGTTTATGTTGTGGAGCAGTAACATCTCCAGGATAAAAATAAAAAAAAGAAGAAACTCCTGCACTGACACCAACTGGAAATCACCACCCTGTCCTAGAGAGCAGATGGGCAGCGAGCAAGAAGGAACCAGAATGAACCCGATGGGTAGCTGGGAATGGGTGAAGGAAGAGAGTTCAGAGGGCCCTGAGCTTCCTGATCCTTCCTCAAAAACCTTTTTCCTACTTTGCAGCTTCAGTTAAGAAGTGTTTATTTCCACCATAGTTCAACGAAGAAGCAAAGCTTTTCCCATTGCTGGAAGGTACTGTCCTGAAGTCTGTTCTAGAAACCACAAAAGATAAAGTGGTTCATTGCCTGGCAATCCAGCTGTCTGCCCGTCGGATCAACCTGTGGGAGCGGCAGACACATAGGGGTTGTGCTTGATGCACCAAAGCTCTACAAGAACCACGTGGCTTCCTGGAGTACCTTACTGAGGCTACTGGTTGCTTCAGGGAAGGTAACTAATAAAACCTCTCATGTCTGGTGCAGGAGAAGAACAATGCACAGTTTATGTATTAAAACCAAATGAACCTGGATGAGGAAGTTTGCTAAACATCAGACAGCACCTAAAATGTAGCAGCTTTTTTTTTTTTTAACACATACAATAGCAGCTTGCAAACACATCTAAAGTTACGTTGAACTTTGCTCAGACAACCTTCAGATCAGCCAAAACTCCTTATTTTGTCTTTAGCTAGAATAATCAAAGAACTGACTATTACAACAGTTTAACTCTTTTATACCCATTTTAAACAGCTGCCTCCTATAAAGTCATTTACAGGTCAGATTTCTAGGCGTTTGCCAACCCCACCAGGCTGCCAAAC